CTCAGGCAATCCACTCACCTCAGCCTCCCAAAGGCGCGGGATTACAGGCTGAGCCACCGAGCCCGGCTAGAACATTGTTTTATAAAGGCCATTTGAGCACATCAACCAAAGCTGAACTGAAACCCGGATCACGTGCCCTGGAGCTCTGCCCAGGGGAGGAGTGGGGAGGTGGAGGGAGGAAAAGCTAGCCAGGTCCGAACCCGGACGGAAGGCCCCGGGGGGACCAGCAGCCACCTTCCAGCGAAGGTTTTACAGAGAAGTAGCATCACATCAGAGGATGTAGCTGAGTTCATTTCATTGCCCCAGAGCAAGAGAGGGGGCAGGGGGACGGGCAAGACAGCGAGAGAGGAGAGAGCCCCAGTCCTGATGGCTCCACAGCAAGGGCGGTTTGGAAGTCGCGGTCCACAAGCCAGGGTTCAGTTGGACAGGCTGCAGCCCCACCAGGGAAGCCTCAGATGTTCATTGTCAGGTTGATGAACTGGGAAGGAAGAGAAAGAGAGAGGAAGGCCTGTTGTCCTTCCAAGGCCCACTGGCCTCAGGACTCACCCCAGTTTGTTTATGTCACAGGCCCTGCCATGTGATCACGTTGCCTGCAAACCTGGACTCCTGACTCAATGGGAAGCCATTTTTAAAAATGAATGCTCAGCACTGTAAGTTTTCCAGCGGTCCTGAGCCCTTTCTGAGTGAGCTCGTGTCAAGAGGACAGCCGCGTGGGGGCACGCGGACAGGGCAGTATGGAGTGCCATTTGCTCTCTGGTGAGGGGTCCCTCACCTTCGGGAGAGAGGCGGCCCTCCATCACGGAGGGGCTACAGACCAGGGCAGTGCGGGAGTCCTCCCCATTTCTTTCTTTTTTTTTGAGTTGGAGTCTCACTCTGTCACCCAGACTGGAGTGCAGCGGCCGCTCCCGGCCACCGCAGCCTCGACCTGCTGGGCTCCGGCGATCCTTCCGCCTCAGCCTTCCGAGTAGCCGGAATTACAGGGGCATGGGGATTTTAAAATCTCCTCCTGCGATTCTCGTGTGAAGCCCGAGGTGTAAGGGTGGTGGGCTTCAAGGAGGAGAATTCAAAGATTTTCCTATTGTCCTGCAGATTAGGGCAGGCAAGAGCCCCCCCCCCACACCTGTGGACACTGGGGTGGGAAGCAATGACACTTCGAACACAGAGCAATGTATACTGCCACCATCCTGCTGTACCCACAGCCTCTGGCTGGCCAAGAGGCTGCCGTGTGACAAACCTGCCCATTCACCCCCTCTACCATGGACCAGGGGAACCTGGCACACCTTCCTCCTGCATGCTAGTGGCAAGACCTTCAAGGAAATAAGAAATAATGGCGGACCGAGGAGTCCCTCTTGTTTGCATAATAGAATAGTTTGAGTATGTACATCTTTCTTTGGAATCCTGGAGTGTTTCACACAGCTATCGATCAAAGGAGTTTTATTGATTGAATGCGTCCTACACGCTGAAGGTGAAAGAGAAGTAAAACGCCCAGTTTCTGTTCTCAGTGAAATTACAATGTGTCCAGGGATCTGAGAAGCACACGTGAGAGTGAGTCAATAATGAATTGCTAAGTTATGACAGTATTAGAAACTACGCTTTTGGTGTAAGAGTGAGAACTAGATCTGTTTCTGGAAATGGTAACACGGAGGCACAGAGCACTTTGATCGATCAAAGTCAGAGCACGAGAGGGAAGGGCGGAGGCTCCATTTCCCTGGCCAATACTTTGCTGTCATCAGCCTCTTATTTGGAAAGGCGAATGCAATGTCATCCAGCCCAAAGTCATGACTGAACTGGAAATGGGCTGGTGTGTACAATGTGAACGCAGGAGCGGGTAGAGAGGAGAAACCTCAGAGGTGGAAGAAGGTACAAGGACACAAGGGAGAGAAGGACACAAAGATGGAGTTTGCGCCTTCCTTCCATTCAGGGCGATTCGTGCCTCTATGCTTCATTCTCCACCTCTGCAAAACGGCATCTGTGAGCATGAACTCTCTGCTAAGTCCTGGCTACTCTTGGGACTTAGCTCCCAGGATTCCTGTACTGACTTAACTGATGACTTCCTGAATGGCAGCTCAAGAATATGAGCCGTGCATTCCTGGAGTCACCCCACAGCGAAATGCCAGCCCTCGTGTGAACTCAGGCATTCGGCCAGCGTTTGTGAGCGCGAACGCTGCCGGGCCCGGCTCGGCCATACCTCGTTTATGTTGAGATGAATGAACTCCTTGTTCTTGGTACTGAGAGCCTGGAACACCCCTGGTGGGAGAGACAGGAGAAAGGCTTCCTTGTAGAGACAGTTCCTTCCACAGGTTTAAGAGTTCCCCCGACAAAGGCTTTTGTGGAGCCCAAGCAGGGCTGCTCCGCCTGGTGGCGGACAAGGGTTTTCTGGAAGCCTCTTCACCTCCTGCAGCAAGCCAGCGGCCTTCAGTGGCGGCGGTGCCGAAACCTACAACAGCCTGTCAGCCGGCCAGCAGCTCCCGGATCCCAGACAACGCCCCTTCCCTTTACCTTCCCTTCACCTTCCGGGGGGTGCAGATTCCTTGAAATCCATGCACACCGTCCACGAAGTTGTACATGAACCTGAAAGCTGCCAGTCTCTCCCACATGGCTGTAAGTTCTTTCGCGGGGCTCGGCGCGTAGGAGACAGAGCCTGCGCTGCGCTGGGTGCGGGTCGGCCACACGGTGCGACCTGAGCAGGGGGCTTTCCTCCCCGGGCCTCAGCCTTCCTCACCTCTCGATGAGGCCGAGCCAACCAACCTTGGCTTCACTTGAGAAGAGGGACGGGGGACCATCGCAGACCATTTCAGCATAGAACAAAAGCAGTGGCAGAGACCCAGCCCCCAAACGTGGTGAGTGGGTCTCGTCTGGACCCCAAATCAACCCAGCCACTGTATCAAGGTGTCAGCAATGGACTGGGCATTCGAGAACCTGGGGGATCTATTCGGAATCCTGCTAGGTGTGAAAATGACTCGATGATGATGCTAAAAGCAAATCTACAGTCCAAGATATTTACACATGAAAGGAGAGAATTTCTGAGATCTGTTATTAAATAATTTGGGGGGCAAAGTACGTGCTGAGGGAATAAATGTAAAAAAAAACAAACATAGCACGTTGGTATTGTCGAGGCTGGCATAAAGCTCTGGAAGCACCTGGGGAAGTTTCATGACTCCTGGGGCTGCATGCCTCCGAGGTTCTAATATAATTAGAATCTGGTCATCACAATCTCTTTAAACACCCCCGGGATTGTGGTTGTAACCCAAGGTTGAAACGCGCTGGTGTGTGGTGCTTGGGAACCCATCATGATTCTTTTTTTTTTTTTTGAGGCGGAGTCTCACTTCGTCACCCAGGATGCAGGGCAGTGGCTGCTCCCGGCCACCGCAGCCCCAACCTGCTGGGCTCCGGCGATCCTTCCACCTCAGCCTTCCAGGGAGCTGGAACTACAGGTGAGCGCTACCACGCCCGGCTCATTTTTTGATTTATTGTAGAGATGAGGTCTCGCCAAGTTGCCCAGGTGGGTCATGAAGCCGTGGGCCCAGGCATCATGATTCTTTATAGCTAAGTGGAGGATTGAAAATTTCTGAAGTGAAACGTTAAAATAATACTGGGGCAAAGCTCCAGCCTCGGAGGGTGTAAAAGTTCTCCAGGTGAATCTAATGTGAGGATCCCAGAATAAATGGTTTTAAGCCGACAAGGCCTTCTCCCTCATATTCCCTCACTGTAAGAACAGGCTGAGAGCCCCTCATGCTGGGAAGGATTAGGCCTGAGGGGATTTCGAAAGAAAAAGAGTGGCTCAGCCTGTCATCCCGCGCTTTTGGGAGGCTGAGGTGAGTGGGCTGCCTGAGCCCG